ATATATAGGCATAACTATACATACAACAATAGGTAATTATCACGTACCTTTGTGGAGAACTCGTATGCGATAGTCTCCAGGTTGAGTTGGTCTGCCATAGTACTGCACTGCAGTGCTAGACTGAGCGAGAGACTCTCATGGCCCGCATTGGCAAGCGCTGTTATCGTTTGGTGTGCGTATTGGAAGAGTTTCTGCACTTTCTTGGACCACTTATCATCCTGAGACGACCAAAGACACAGACACAGAAAACGGAAAGGTTGAACAACCAGTATGTTAAAGAGAAATACACATGGTCGTTTTGGTCGCATACGTAGAGCGTTTTAGTCGCATACGTAGAGATCTTGGTTGTTCGTTTTGGTGTGCGTTTAGGTGCAGTTTCTGTTCTTTCTCGGGCCATTTGTAATTGTACTGAGACCAAAGAGGGCGGGGCAGAGATAGACATTCGTATGTGGAGAAGTGCCACTGATTCACTGGTTAATACACATGCTGAATGAGAGCTGTTTATGTGAGTGTACTATATATATACAATTGAATGGATATGGTTCAATTAGATTAACATGGGCATGGCACACACTACACGCATACAACACTCACATCACATAAACAAAGTGTATGTAAAATGAGTGTAGTATATAATTACAATACGTATATACACACCACTCGTACTACACTCACTTCATTCTGTAAGGCGTTGTAACGTTTAATGCTAGTGCAATACACACACACACCACTCGTACTACACTCACCTCATTCTGTAAGGCGTTGTAACGTTTAATGCCAGTACAATACACTCACACACCACTCGTTCTACACTCACCTCATTCTGTAAGGTGTTGTAACGGTTAATGCTAGTGCAATACACACTCACCTCATTCTGTAAGGCGTTGTAACGTTTAATGAGTTTGAGTGCCGAGAAGACGAGTGTGGGCAGTGTGTGTTTGATGCGCAGTTCTCCTCCGCTGCCGCAGTGCCTTCGAGTCATCACCAGGATCTGTGGCAAATGCAACGTGATTAATATACGACAAACGTGGTGTTTACGACATCTGATCATCACCAGGATCTGTGGCAGATGCAACGGGATTAATATACGACAATCGTGGTGTTTACGACATGTGATCATGACCAGGATCTGTGGAAAAGGCTGCGAAATCAATATATGACAAGCATAGTTTACGACATTTAATCATCACCAGGATCTGAAGCAAATGAAACGGGAATATTATACGACATGCATGGAATTTACGACACTTAATCCTCACCAGGATCTATTGCAAAGTAACACCTAACCCGATGCCACAGATATGAGATAGAGTGCTAGTAGAGAAGTGTACACAACACCTCCTTTCGACCACGGTCAATGTTCATAAGAATGACACACCACAAGTAATTTAAATACCAAAATACAATGTTATTGTCACTTTCCCTGGTATAACCGGTAATAGGAGATACGATGTTTATATTCTCTCGCCTGATATAAATAATATATAAAGACAAAGCACACAGCCCACCAGTGAATAACAGAGTGATCTCTTTGCCTGGTACAACCGGTATAGGACTTGCGATGTATATATCCAATGTTTAAATTGGTTATATCCACATGTCTATATTGGTTATATCCTATGTTTATATTAGTTATATCCACATGTCTATATTGGTTATATCCTATGTTTATATTAGTTATATCCACATGTTTACATTGGATATATCCACATGTTTATATTGTTTATATCCACATGTTTATATTGGTTATATCCACATGTTTATATTGTTTATATCCAATGTTTATATTATTTATATCCACTTGCCTGGTACTGTTGGTCCGCTTCTTCGGAATAGAAGTTATGAAATAACCTGGCCACTAACGTCTGTTCGCCAATGAAAGTGAAGTCGCCCTTAAGATCTATAAATAGAATGGGCCAGGGTGAGTCATCGAGATCAGATAGTGCGTCAATGGCACATAAGTGGAATGTAATCAAGTGGCCTACAGGGTGGAGCTATGGGGAGATGGCGCAGGGATAAGCCATGGTGTACAGAAGTGGACTACTACCGAGTGGGAGGGTACGTGTAAGTAAACCATATTTGGACAGCTGAAACAATAAAAGACATATGTATATGCATACGATTAGACAAACATGAACACAAAGAACACCCGCACTCACAGACACACAGACAAACAAACAAATACGAAAACGAAAACACAAACACAAACACAAACAAACAAATACGAAAACGAAAACACAAACACAAACACGAACACAAACACAAACAACAAACAACAAACAACAAACAACAAACACAAACACAACACAACAAACAACAACACAACAAACAACAAACAACAAACAACAAACAACAAACAACAAACAACAAACACAAACACAAACAACAAAC